AGAATATCGATCACGCTGATTACGTTAATTATGATCGGTTGACGTAGATTCACGTCGTATTTTACAAGGAAAATTAACAGAATATTTAATAATGTCTGAGTCAGCGTCGAAGTATTATAACAGATAGATGATGCTAAGCTAGTGATAACAAGTGTCTAGCTCGTCGTGCATTATCACCGTTTTGTTTGAACTTTTTGGAAGCTATTTCTATGATGTAACATTGTAACAGTTTCTTTGCACTGATATTCGCGAGCAGCTTGAAATAGAAGCTTTGTGTCTCCTTTACAGCTAATAAAACTTGACATTTTTGTTAGTTACAACCTCTCAAGTTATAAATATGGAAAACAAGCGTGAAATGCAAATCTTGCGATTGGTGACTTACGTCTATGTCTATATATGCAAATACCGCAAGTTGCGTAAATGCAATACAATTAAAATGCAAACGCATAATCATCAGTGAATGCTTCAAGAGTCTTAGCAATGTAAATGTATGTACAATTACATAAAAAAAAGACCTAAGTTAAAAATACGCAATAATATACGTGTGGTGGCGAGAACGTCAAGACAGAGCAACTGTGTGCAGAATTATCTCAGCTATATTACAGTAATTGATAGATGATGTAGCTTCATTGTTTTGTATTTAATGCAGTTGAAATATATCAAACTTGGTGATTGTCGGAGCTTTGTAGTACAGCGAATAATGACAGTTAAAAGATAGAACAATAGTTAACGGATTAAAAAAAAAGGATAAACGATACAGCTTTCTTATAAGAACAAGCTAATTACATACAAATTGAAACAAGATTTACATAAAATTACTTTCTTGAAGAAAGTGATATTGAATACTTGCAATTTTTACAAATAAATCAATATAGAATAAAATTGTTTTTGCGAAAAAAGCGATTTGATACGTATATATCTTTATTTATTTTAGTTTTGTTTTTGTAGCAAATAACACCAACGGGAAATAACTCACTGCGATGGGTGCTTTCTATTTAGTGACACAAGTGTCATTTTGTCTTTGTTACTTATTGAATGCCAAGAAAGATAGAACGATGTTTATGTCGACTTGTTGTGTCCCTAAATGAAAAGCACCTACTATTTCCTACATTTATTTAATAATTTGCTCGTTTTTAATAATTTGCGTTGCTCTTTAAATGCATTCTTATATTTGTGCATTATTTTATCTATTATTTAAATTAATTATTGTTTTTGCAAAATACTTATTACTTATTTCTATAGGTAAAATGTGAAAATAGATATTGGCTGATTGTACAGTTCAGTGATATATCTTTTTGAAATAATAACTATTTGAATTTGCGCAATAATCAAAGCGCTTTTGAAAACTATCAAATACACTTTCTTAAATAACTGTAATATTGTAACTTTAAAAATTTTTATTTTATTTTATTTATTTAGTAAATAACAGCCGTTTAATTTTAATAACTTCCCGATTGTCATTTTGTGTGAAAGTATTGATGTTTTTCGAAGTTGCTGTATGCAGAATTCTTCGCGCCAGCCGTCATAATTCACGGGGTACGAGTGGGACCGAGTCTAATCTGATGCGTTTTCGTGGGTGAATTGCATAACAAACACGGTTATTCGTAATGGGACAACGTTTCAGAATATAGAAAATTGTACGATTTTACACATTCGTGTCTAAATTTACGTCGGCATCGTTTTAAATATATCATATAGATACAGGGTAGTCGGCAGTCTAAAGACTAACAGCTGAAGATTTTTGCGCATGCCAAATGAAATTCTCGCATTCTTTTAGTGTCACACACAACTGGCAATAGCACATTCGCGTGACGTTTAGAATACATACATCGATCTTTCGCAAATTCAACCGAACCGAAAATACGTAACGTACCGATCAGTTTTGTATCCTTTCTCTGTAAATCGGCTCGATTGCCTACACGTGTAAGAATTTGTATTGTTCCTCAGGACAAAAAAAAATGATTTGTTAATAATTATTCAAACAAACGCAGCAATTGATAGACGAAAAGTCAGTAAACATTTTGTTTTTCTGAGTAAAACTAAAATTAACGAGCTTCTAAATGTAGTTTGGCTGACGCTACAAGTTGCGAAAGCTTCCATCGGTTGTCGAGTTATGAATGTTTCTACATTACGACCTAATTTCCAGCTAGCAACCGTGATCGACCAAACAGCGCTACGTGTACGCAACTTCGCGACATCACGTTGATGTCTTTTAACTTTTCATCTGCTTTTCTATTGCTCCGAATTACCTTTATTAACACGCAGTCTTGCTGCTATTTTAATTTCATAATGTAATTTTCTCGCCCCGCGCGTGCAGTGCATTTAACATTATTATGTCTGATTCTTAAACTTGTTGTGTTTGTTTGGTGTGATTTAAACTTTATAATATATGTGACCAATCTTCTACTTTTAATCGTTTGCAAAGACTTAGTGCATCAAATAACATTTTGCGACGCAAAAACAGATTCGAAAATAACCAAGGAATCTGCAATTATGCAGTAAGACTTTATTTTCTATTCCTTACGATGCATCTTACCTTTTATAGTGACGTTTCGCAGTTTCTAAGTCATCCATGCTTTCATTGAGTAAGTAAAGTTTAGAACCTATAATGCCATTTCTGCAAATAAAAATTGCAATGTTGAAGATAAAATCGAATTTTATCACATAATAATGTATAATTATGTAAGTAGCACTCACTTAAAGAATGTTACTATATCGACGTCTTTATAAGGGTATTCAAAGTCTTTCTGATTACCGATATCATCTATTAGAGCGAGAAGTTTTTCGTTTTTGAACTTCCATTGGTTTAGCAAAAAGTATGACAGTGCTTTGTTGGCAACATATATTTTTCTTTGCAATTTCAGCAAGCTAATAGCAAGGTAATGTTAAACTTTATTAATTATTTAATTCGTATCTAGAAGAAAACTTACACACTTTTTATTTTACATATATCATAACTTAATTTTAGGGAATAAAATGTAATTCATAAACAATAAACATCTAAAAGATATCTTAAATCCTCAAATATTTATTAATTGCTTTTCTTGGAAAATATTTGATTCAATTAGTGCCTATTGTTGCCAAAATTAAAGTGTTAGTATAGGTAAGTTACCGCTTTCGCTAAAAATCTCGTTACGAAATAGTTGAATTTTATCGTCAAAATATCCGCATTCAAAAAATGTAATAATTATAGAACGTCTTACATAGTTTAATCAAATTTTGTATAATAAGTTTATACATAAAAATAAAATAAATATTTGTATATTTCAATAAATCTTACATTGGACGTCTCCCGGACAGTTTTATCATTGTATCCAAGAAAACTGCTGGGATAATGTGCAAAAGCAAAAACAAAATAAAATAAACAGAATTGCTTTTTGTTACTGTTGTATGCGGTTTCCAAACGACGTTGTCTAAAGGGACGTCCTTCGTGATACCAAGACCTATCCGAACCATGTTTTGTACGTCTATACTTTTCATTTGATTTGATGAGCAGTTATACACGTCAGTCGTTTTATCTTTACTGAAGCATAAAACACGCTATAAATTTTAGTATAAATCGAATGCACGTAATACTTCTACTAACATTTCAGAAAATCATACACTATAAAGTAATATTTTATTACGAAAAGTCACAAACTTACGTTTTAATTCCACGTTTCCAAGCTATAGCTATCATTGCTTTAACGGCTGCGTCGACAGGCATGTAGTCACTCATGATGGAAGGGTCAGACAAGAGCACACGTAATATACCCTTGCCTCCACCAACCAACATCCCGACCGGGCCGTTCATATTGTCGATCCATCCTTTGATAGGGTCATGCGATGTCGATACAACTATAGAGGGCCTAATTATAGCGACTGGCAATGACTCGGAAAAATCGCTTATCACTTGTTCGGCCAGTCTTTTAGTAAAAGTATATGTGTTTGGCATGGTTCCCAAATATTTCGTTGTTAATATTCTAAGAAGATGTTCGTCGATGGATTCGGCGACTTTAATCATTTTCTTATAATCATATTCCGAGGGGTACAAAATCTCTTCCACAACAGGCTTGTCAGTTTGTGAATACGTTGAACTAACGTGCAATAGAACCTTAAATCATTTATGCAGATAAAATATTAGGATATTATTTATTTCGAGAATTTATTTTAAAACAATAGGTCTTAATTTGTACACTTCGCATTTGGCTGCTTTCACATAGCTAATTTTTACATTCCACAGTATTAAATGTTAAATTAAAATAAATTTTCTTTTGATTATAAAGAGAGATTTTCTTATTTTACTGTCCTACGTTAACTAATTGATTGATGATAAAAAATTTTATTTATCCTAATTATTTCTGTTTATCTTATTATCTTATAGATTATGCGTATAGATTATACGAAATTTTCTCTTGGGCATAGTAAAGAGTTTGAAACCTTTAACAATTAAATTGAATTTGTGTCTGCAACGATATAGATTTCTTTTATAATTTGTACACACATACAAAACATTTTTTTCAGTTAGTTGTTTAATTTTGTAAGTGTAAAGTTTCTTTACAACTTTCATTGAAATATATAGACAAATATATAGGATTATTAGTAAAGATTTTATTGTTTAAAAATATATTTTTATAATCACTTGCATAAAAATGTTACGAGAAATTTTATTTTAAACAAAATAGTAAAATCTTACCTTTAATTGTTTCATAGACTCAGCTAAGATGCAAACATCTCGTGTCGATCGCGTGTTGTTAAAGATCGCTTGTTTGAGCGGTTCATCAAATCTGACTGAAGCTGCAACGTGGAAAATTATGGACACTCTCTCGACCAAAATTGTCCGGTCAGAGGACAGCAATCCTAAGTTTTCAACAGCTACATTTCCAAGTATCGGAATAATCTTATCAAAAGCAGACGGTTGCTTGCTTCGTAGCAGGTCGAAAAGCTAAATTAATATCAATTATTAGAACGCATAGTATATATAACGCATAGTTATATTTATATTGCAACTTCACTTAATTTTAATAGAAAAAAAATCCAATTAGGTATTAGAAAGGAAAATTTAAAAAATGAAGAGATTAACATAGAAACATTGACTCAGTATAAAAAGAAAAAAGTTAATAACAACGTCTTTCTAAAAAACTATTTTAAATTACTTCACTGCATTTTTTTCCATAAATTATTAACATGGTGAATGGTGAATCTAATTCGTCGGTATTTCCGATAACGCCGAAGTAAAAATTTCACTACTAGATACACATCTCGATAAAATATTACATAATACAATATAATAGAATTGTAAAATGTGCATAATAATACATTAATTACTTTCGACTACTATTGCAATATTAAACATATTTACAGAATTATAAACATTATTTTTTATATTTTACTGGCGTCGGCCAGCGCTGGTCACCAGTGATCAGCATATATGGCATTAAATGTGATATTTAAGAAAAAACTGTTTTGAGCGAAACTATTGAAAGACTTTTTTAAGTTAACTCTTATTTTTATAGGAAAAGGTATCCACTAATTTTGAAGGACATTATCTCTTAAAATATTTCTACTAATCATAACTAAACGAATTATATATATGATTTAAGTTTCTGATTTGATTAAAGTTCTAAACATTTTTACAATTATAAGTCAACAAATTTTCTTTATCAATAATAATTTAATTATTGCGTAAACATGTATGTGTACTCTTATGTTGATCTTACCTTGTTGTTTAACATTTTTTTTAATCTATCGTTGACACTCAATCCTTTCTTGGGGCGTATCAGCACAAATATTTCTGCCACGTCAGGACATGATCGCAAAAGTTTTTCAATGAGAGCTTTGCCTAAAAACCCTGTTGCTCCGGTGACCAAGATTGAGCGGCCCGCGTAAAAAGTCGGAATATGCACATCTGCCGCGTTGTTTTCCATGTTCAAACGTAACAGAAGTAAAATCAACAAAGCATGTAAAAATAATGTGTACAACTACAGCCGAGATAGCAAATACGAGGTAGTGAAAAAAGACGTAAATGTTATCTGAAAATTGGCTTAAATAAATTTAAATCAAATAAATTTAATTTTTATTTGCAAGGCAACGAAACGTAAAAGTCACAGCACTACGTCTTCGATGGACGGCGGAAACGTGAATGAGTTTGACAGAAATTGAAGTCAGGAAATGACGTAGAACTTATATTAATGATAATGACGTTAAAGGTTGTAAAGGCAAGTTCCTCCATCCATATTAATACGTTGATCTGCATATATTGTGAACTACGTCGTTTTATAAACGATTGGAACAATGTTATAGATAACGATACGCGTGAAACGTATACGCATATAATTTCAAGTTTCTTCTTGTATTAAATATTATAAATACATAAACAATATACTCTACTTCTGCATGCAAATTATATTTTATTTAATACATTCTAATATATAAATATGCATAATATTTAACATTAAAACTTATACCCTTTATTTCGAAAATACATACAATAAGGTGTCTACAAAGAAAAATATCTTTGGCATAAAAAAATTATTTTCCTACTGTAGACTATAAATTATATGATTAAAAATTATATTATAAATTGTTACATATGCAATATAGAAAAAATCAGCGATTTTACTGTGTATAACAACAGATCCATTTATATATTATCCACAGTATACCAATAGAGACCATACTCTTCATTATTTTAACAAATAGATAGACTCTAAAACAATAAAATTAATATATTATACATATTCTAATTGTTTCGATTATGCCCCATATACAATAAATTATGTTAATTCCATATCTTACACAATATGTATAATATTAATACTATTATGTCAATAACTTTTGCTTCTTCTATTTTCTAAATTATTTACGTCATACATATCAACAGCAGTATATAATTTATGATTAATATATCTATAATTACTAAAAGCGTTTATTTTGCTGAGATAAAAAAGAAGATAAATCCTTAACTAAAGCTTCGAAGTTGTCAACATTTTCTAAAGTGTGATTATCAAAATTATAAATACAAGTTATACAGCTATTTTTTACAAAATGGAATTGCTTTATCAGTTAGTGTTCGAGAAAAAAAAAACAAATATTTTACCTTTAGTATTATTGCACAACTTTTGATAGCCAATTTCAAATGTAACATAAATGTAAATATGCATAAACGATACCAAATACAGTAATATATAATATTTATACCTTTCCCTGTGTGCTCTGGCTGTATCCAATCGATTCATGTCTTCGTGAAGAAGAAATTTTTTGGCACCAATTGTACAATTTCTTTATATACAATCGTAAAATAAACATTTATTGGTTGTAAATTACCTCAATTTTAAATATATTTAGATATTTAGAATCAAAAATATAATATACTTACTTGTAATACTCCTCAGAATTGAAATCGGAATAATCGAAAGAAAACATATCCCAGTCTTCAGATGATATTGAGGACATCAAAGACAAACTATTTGTATTGCTGAATTTCCAATCATTACATGTGAAATATCCCAAGAAACGACTGACCACATACAGATTTCTCTGCAGTCGTACTAGACTAATTTACACATTATTTATTAATTCAAAACAATTCAGTTATAACGATACATTGTCAACTATGTAGATTCCAAATTTGCAACAAGAAAAACGTAATAAAACAATTCCGTATATAATTTTTACAAATATATAGTTATACATAAAAATTTTATTTTAAAAAGTAATTTTATGTATCTATATGTAGAAAAAAGAACTGGATAAACAAATAAAGAGAGAGACAGAGAAAGAATATAGACAAAGTATTAACGTTAATTTATGACAAAAAAAATATATTTTTTCTAAAAGAAAGTATACTGTTTTAATTTGCATCTAAATGTTATCGATTTTATCAAATGTATGAATAATTTGCATTTGCTAAACTAGTTAAGTATTTGATTTTGACTTACAAAGGTCGACGTCCAGAAAAGTTCAAAATCATATCTATTAACATAGCTGGCAGGATATGCAATAATATAAATAATATATAGTACAGAGTAAAATTATCAGTTGTTGTTTGGCTAATAGTCCAGACAATTCCTTCAAAAGGCACCTCAGTTGCTATAGTAGAGAACAACTCTATCATATTTTGATGTGTCATGGGTTTCGGGTTTGTACAATTTAAAACGAAAGTAGAACCTGTAAAGCTAAAAACAAAAATATAAATTAATTAATAACTTAAATATAATCAAAAATTAAATATAATTAATAACATGTTTTTATAATTTACATAAAGTTTTGTAAGATCTGAATCAAGTTTCAATATTAGGACAAAAATTTGCAAAATTTTGAATTGTACGGTATACAAAATATTTATTAACAAATTTTAATTATTTAACATGTTTTGGCAAATTATTGAATTATGTTTTTAAAATGTAAATATGCAATGAAATTCTTTTTAAATTATTTAAAAAGTTCTTTAATCTTAATAATAAATTAAATAGAATCGATATAATATACATTCAACTTAGAGAAAAGGCCATTTAAGGTCAAGACTGGATTTTGGTTGCCTAATAACATTATTCGCATAAATTTATGTACAATTTCTTTTTATGTAAAATAATGAACGAGATTGATTGTTGGGAAAAAAAAAGTTATTTTTATATTCAATTGCATTTTGTAGACGCATTCAATTTTGCAAAATTGCAAATGTAAAAATTAATATTATTATTCAATTTTTTTTAATATTCTATGTATAAAAGTATTAAGGTAAAGTCATCGAAAAATGAATACATTACGAGATATTTCAAAATTAAAACATTTTAGAAAATTCTTAACGAAAGAAAGTTTTATTATAATGTTTTGAGATCTACAACTATTATCTCAAGAAAAAATCAAGTTTCATTTAAGAAATTAGTCGATTTGAAATTTCTTGAAAACGATGACATCTACGACATAACTCACATCGGAATTATATATCCCCTTTCAAACCAAACAACTTTTGTTTGAAGAATCTTTTTCTACAATTAAAAATAAAAATAATCTTGGATTGGGTAAATTAAAATAACTCACCTTGTACAGGACATATTCTTAATCTTATTTTACAAGTAAAACATATCAGATAAATTTATTTCATATTATAAAAATAGGCATTTAAAATCTTTTGGATGTAATTATTTTAATGCACAGTAGAAAAAATGTATAGTTAAAAAGAATTGAAGTAGGTAGAAATTTTTACTAATATTGAGTAAATGTTATATCTTTGAATTATTTTCTAGTATGAATATTGCACAAGTTACATCCATCTTATAGGCTATAGTTACTTATAGGCTCGTTAGCGCGCGACTAAGAATTCCTCTTTGAATTTAACAAAATAGATTGAGTAAGATTCATAAGATCTTATTATAAACATGAATTGTGATGCAGTTCCAAATTAAAAAAAAAAACTCATAAATGCATGCACATATGTGTACGTTGATGATCATACGTAGTCAATCCAATCTTCCAAGATACGACTAATATAGCTTTGATGACAATGTCTACTGGAACTACATCTTCATTCAGATATTTATTACAATAGCCTACTCGTAGTATTCCTTTTCCGGCACCAATATACATTCCTATTGGCCCATAAACGTTATCTATCCATCCTGGCATTGGTTCTTTTAGCGATGGACACACTAAAATAAAATATATAAGATATATTTGTTTATTAGTGTTAAATTACTACTTAATTCTTCTAATATTGTTCAACTATTTCTTGCCAATATATTATTAACTAAAGTAATGAAAGCTGTCTCAAAGCCCTCTAAACATATTTTCAAATCTTGTTCAGTGTAATTTCTCATAATAAATATCAGCAAATTTATTTACTTATTATAAGCAAAAATATGGTTTAACAATATATTTGACTAACTATATTACATAAATGCAAAAATTAAAGTAAATTAGTTTCTAAAATATATAGTAAAATTTAAAATATGTATATATTTATTGTTTGCTACGTCTACTGTTCTGATACTTAGAAGAAAGGTTACGTACCCATGGACGGTCTTACAATCGCGCACGGTAAGGAAAAAGAATATTCTTGTATTATACTCTCTGCTAGGTTCTTCGAAAAATTATACGTGTTGGGAGCGTAATCCAAATATCTATATATAATTACAACGTGAATAAAAAAATAGTTCAAAGGAGATTAATTATTCTAGTATATATTCAACTATTTGCAGTTTGTAATCACGATTTCCATTTGCAACTTACTTAGCTGTAAAAATGTTCAAAGTATGCTCATCTAATGACTCGGCCACATCTATCGTCTTCTGCCAATCAGCTATAGGTGGGTACACTTTTTCTTCGATAAATGGATTGTTTACGTTTGTGTATGCTGTACTGACATATACTAATGCCTTTAATAGATATTAAAAATTTATTTGAAAATTGTAAGTATTTATAAAAAATTTTCTTTAATGTGTAAAGGTTTGTATAAAAAGAAGAATTAATTTATATATATAAGTACCTCTAATATTTTAATCAGACTTACGTATACCCACATTCTCCTAAATTTATTTCATTTAAATTATTATATTAAACTTAAAGAATACACTATAATAAGTACTTAGAAGAAATGATTAAAATATGAATTGTTGCGCAAGACATTATCTAAAGTATACCATGTGATACAATGCATTACTCATAAATACAAATCCACACTGTTATTTTTTTTTTGAGTAAAAATTACTTACTTTTAAATTCTTCATACTTTGAGCTAAAATGCAAATATCTCTCGTTGCTCTAGTATTGGCAAATATGGCGTTTTTTAAAGTGTCATTAAATCTCACACTTGCCGCTCCATGTATTATTATAGACACTCTTTCAATCAACATTTGTCTGTCTGCTGCCGACAAACCTAATCCCTTTTCTCTGATATCGCCAGAAATCGGAACTAATTTTTCAAAATTAGAAGGTCGTTCTTCGCGCAATTTGTCAAATAACTTAAATAGAAGAAACGTTATAATTTATAAAATCGATTTATTATAATAATTGCAATAATTTCTATGGTATTTCTTTTTATTTTATTTTAAATGCATTTCTATATTCTATTACATACTATTTACAAAGTGTTAATGTCAGAAACAACTTCCGTTAATGACTTAGAAAAATATTCGTTTTTATCATACGTTAAAATGTGATGTAATATATTAAAGATCTTAACAATCTTAAAGAACCGCGTTATTACAAAAAGTTTTTTTTATATCAAACTTACCGGCATGTTTAACATTTTTTCGAGTCTCTCGTTAATATTTAGTTCTTTCTTTGGACGTATTAACAGAAATATTTTACGCACATCTGGACAAGACCGCAATACTTTTTCGGCAAACACTTTACCCAGAAATCCTGTCGCACCTGTCAAAAATATACTTTGTCCGGCGTAAAATGCAGGAATTGACTTGGCTGGATCCATGTCTGTCATCATCTTCTTAAAATCTTATTTTTAAAACAAAGCAAATATATGAGCAATCTTATAACAACTTAGCAACACAACGCAAAACAAAGGTATTGAAGCATTTCAAATCGTTGTCGCTTTTATTACGTCTATAAAATTGCAGGTAACGTTGATGATATAAATGTTTATAATTATTTATGCACTATGCTAGAACCAGGAAATGATGTGCAATATAAAGTTGAAAGAGCAAACACACATTATACGTAATAATATGCGTTTGCTTCATGATATAGCATAAAAGATATAATGCAATAACACATTGCATTATATTTTTATTGCATAATACATTACAGAAATGAGATAGTTGTAAACATTTATGTATGTTGTAACATAATTTATACAATAATATTCTATTTTCGGGCACTATTGTAACAGCATGTTTGCTGTTCTTGCATTAATTTATTTAAATCAATCGAAATATGTTGTTTATAGAAATAAAAATTATATTCACACTTTTGTCTATTAATTTGTTTTAGTATGTCTTCTTCTCATATTATTGATTACAATTTTGACTACTGATCATCGAGAATGGACTACCAAACACTACCAACAAAACGAATAATAATGGTTGTTACGAAATTTTTAATAGTGGAGGGGGGCAGCTACACACAGCTTGTTTTAACTACGTGAAAAGAGTGCGACACAGAGAGGTAATTCTGTTCTCATAACCTAGCTTATACATTTTTAAACGTCACCTAGAAACATTATTTTCTTTATTTTTGTATTATTGTACTGTATTTTGTATTGCCATATAATGCATCTAAGATTTATTACCATGTAATATATCTAAAATTTATTATTATATAATGTCTAAGATTTCGAATAATATTATTGTATATATAATTGTAATTTATTATCCATGTTACTTATATGAATGTATTTTGTTGTTATTATATTGAAAGAAAAAACATAAAAAAGATACATAGAAAGATACTTAATTTTAATAGTACTTAATATTCTGTATTGTTTTACTATTATTATTTAGTTTTAATCTTTTAGAAATATCGTTTAAATTAACGGCAGAAGCATGTCTTGTTATATTCCTATTCATCTTTTATTTAGACCCAAAAAATATAAAATTACATTTATTGTTGTTCTCTTATTTAATATTTTTCAATTTATACAAATACGTAGAACATTATAAATGCAATACAAAATATCGCAACTAACATAAAATACTGGACGTTTTACTTTACAGATATCAGTTGTTGCGCACGTTTTACATATAAATTTTATTAAAATAAAGGATAATTATATCGTTCGATCGATTTAGCCTAAATAACCTCCAGAGACTGAAACAATGGCTAAAAAAGCACGCAAAGCGTTGGAGAAAGAGCAAGCGGCATCTGCGGCCGCTGAAGCTGAAAGACTTAAGTAAGGCTATTTACAATTAATTAGAAAAAAATAAATTAAGTTTGATTCGTTAAATTATATAGTCCAATAAAATAATTAACACAGAAGTTAATAATCAATAATTATTTTTTAAATTTACACTTAATGTAATAGCGTAATATAATTGGTATGGTGGTAGCTTTTCAAATAACTAGAGAACAAAAACAATTTTTGATTGTTTATTTTGTTAATTTTTCTTTATATTAATACATAATACATTTAATACAAAATATCGATCAACTTATTTTTATTCATTAAGAGATTTATTTAAATTAATGATATCAATAATGCGTGTTGATACATGAAAATATTTACGTACATTATACTGTAAGCTTTTACTAACATATTAATAAAATGTTCTTAATAAAGGTTGCAGATGATTAAAGATATGCAAGAAGAGATTCGATTGGAAAAGTACAATACGGAGAGACAAATACTGCTCGAAGAACAAGAAGCAGCGATGCGAAAAGTTCAATTGGAAGAGACATTGTGCGTGCTTCACAATTACAAAAATGCATTTAGAAAATATTTAGCTGCTGCCGAAGAAGAGGAAAATGTAAGTATTACCTTCTTCTATCTCTTTCGCATATTTATAATAAATAAATATATGAAGTGTTTATGTGCTATACATTTTTTTATGTCGTTAATATATGTATATAGTGAATTTATTAATAGTTTTGTAACCATTTATTAAATCACTTTTTGAACAACAAAAATTGAATTAAGCTTGAATTATAAGATTTATTAAACAGGTTCTTGCACATAACTCACGCAAAGTCATAATACTTTCAATTATAAAGAAACAATTATTTTCAGTGGACTAGATATATGACTTGCGATGGATTGCCAGACCCTGGCAGTTTATCCGAAATGAATACTTTTATGTTTTTGTGGTCAATGGAAGACGAGAAAGTTAATATGGACAAATTTATTACAAAATACAATATTATCATCTATGTACGTAAATTTTAAATAATTAAATCAATCAGTAATTCTGATATAATTAAATACAGACAATTGTTAATTTGTAAAAGTGTAATAAACAGGTGGATATATTTACATTTGATACGTCATAATCAATTCAATAAATAGAGGTAGTAATTATAATGTCTTTATTTTTACCTATCATAAAAATAACAATTAAATATTTTCCTTCACAGTTGTTGACAAAACTCAACGAAATAATACGATTCTCTTTAACAAGCTCACCAGATTATATAATTGAATGTAAGATGGTAAGCAATAATATTCGATCAACTTACTATACATATACTATACTTACACATGTAAAAAGATTAAAGTTAAACATTTAACAGATCAGACAACGATTTCGTGATAAGCTTCAAGAATGGATAGACGCGGCGTGTTATTCACTTTTGCGTCAGATAGAAAGGGATATGGTCCGCGAGAGCATAAAAACGGCGAGATACACTAAAATTTCCGATCAAATCAGTTGTTGCATTTGGGCTTTAATAAAATTGCCTATTCCACTTAAACAAGTCACCGAAAAAGATCGGTACGTATTAACATTTAATGATTTTACATATATTATGTGTCATATATATATATATATATATATATATACACATATATATATAACATATATAATATGAATGGATCTGTTTCTTGTGACATATTATATATTATATGTGCTATATTAACTTAATTTGTTAGATGTTGACTTGTAACAATTATTATCGTTGCATTATTTTGACAGAAAACCTATTGAAGTTCACTTTGAAGAAATAGAGTTGACTGTTAAAATGCCCATAGACATAGATTGCTATTGTATGGCGATACGTGCATTATGGGTAAAGTATGACCATTACTCTGATTCCGCGACCTCATACGTCATGCCAAAACTACCAGAGGAATATGAGAGCATGTATTCCATAGGTACAACTTACAATATTTTTTATAAATTTTATTTATTTATTAGTTTGGATAAAAATTAAAATTATTTTTTACGCTAAGTCAAGAAGTGATATTGTAAAATTAATAGATATAATAGTGAAATTATAAAATTTGAAAAACTTGTCAAAAGAAAATGGTCAACGAATTAAGATATAATTAACAAAAAATATAAGTTAACAAAAATAATAAATTATAATTTATAAAAGTAACAATGAACAGGTTTCACCGGTTTTTTGTGAATAATATCACATGTCCACATCATATATATGTAACGTGTAACATATGAAAACGTGTTGTATAAAAGTATTATACTATGTAGAAATGTAAATATATTATAGATATTTACGTTTCTATGAAGAAATGCGAGTGTTTTAGAGTTCTTTCTTCTTGTGCATGCTTCAGATTTTTTCATCTATTGTCAAAACGAGTATAATACAAAATTGAAAATACGAGAGGAGCAGGTCGATGGCCGTCGTCTTCGAATGGAGGAAAAGAAAGCTATACTTGAGAGAATGGAGAATCCACCAGTCCCACTCCCTACAAAGCCCGAAAGAAAAGGGAAACAGCCAAAGAAGCCGGGTATTCAAGGAGCGAAACGTCCGGAACCAGAACAGGAACCAGAAAAATTACCGTATCTACCTACACCAGATGAGATAATTCTACAAAGAGAAGGTAAAAATTGCAATTGCAATAGGTGGTTGATATACTTATTGAAATTTTGAATTCTTAAATTCAATATACCCATTGAGAAGACAGTAATTAAAAATATGTTAAAATGAATTACTTCCTATGTTATATTTAGTATCCCATAACATTGTCAATATAAATATAATAAGAACGGAAGGAATAAAAAGGAGAAACTAACACATTTTTAAGACAATTTTTTCTGTTGATATGGGTTGGAACAATTAAACGTTCAACTTTGTGACAATCAATTCTTTGCTGTACTAATTTATTTAATGTTATTGATTGCTTATTATATTTTATTTTAAAAAATTGAAATTATTATAACAGTGAAGCTATATCGTCGAGAATAATATTGTTTTCTATTCTTTCAGATGAAACGCGAAAGGAAATTAAAAAATTATTATTCACGCGCTGCGAAAAGACGGAAATAAATTTGCGAAAATACAGAATACTCGGTGGTGCATTACACATTGATTTAGTTTATCAACCGCCGCAACCCAAGGACATGAGAAGAAATATTACGCTCACCACTTGTGAGCAATAATTATTTTAACTACAGTAACTTATAATGACTTATATCATGTAATGTTTTGTCTTTGAATGTTAACATTATCTTCTTTGCAGTGCAAATTCCTAAAGAACTGAAATCCGTACCGTTTTTCAAGCCGTATAAGGCGCCGCCTCCGGCACCCGATTCTGAAAGAACACCGGAAGTAATCGAAGCTGAAATGAAAGCTTTGGAGGCCGCAATGGAGGCATTGGCTCTAGTAACTTTAAAGTACATTTTTTTAAATAAGTTAATTACAATAAAAAATCGGATGCAATATAATAGCGAAATATAAGTCCAAAATTATCACTATATTAAAATAAGAAAATTAAAAAATAAACAGTTTTAGCGAAAATATAACAAATACGACATAACCAAGATATAATGCAGTATAACGAGTCATAATTATGTATAATTTGGAATAGAATACGTGTTAAGTAATAAAAACTGTATACTACATTTCGTTATTATAATCAAATATTTTTTATCTCAGTTGTATCTCATACTTATGCCAAATCACGTTTCAATGATTACTTCTTTACAGGCTTCCCAGCTCTATTATTTGGTTTGAACCGCCATTAGTGGCACATTGGATACCTGAGAGGAAAATATGGTCTACGCAGGATGTGCACGATATCAAGTACAACGAGGAGAAGCAAACTATGACGTTTAGAACCGGCAGATTAGGCGTCCACGGCCTCGCTACTTTTAAGTTTATTAACATTCCCTTTCAAAGTTGGGAACTTAAACCTGAAATTGGTAGAAATGCACGCGGTGGGATTGTGCTCAATGTGTCCGCTGCCATCGTTCAAGCAGAATTCGTAGTCAGGGTAGGTTATACTATTCTTTAGATTGCTGATAAAATTCACAAGTGGGGGTCGGCTAGATATGTAACATTCAAATTTCGTGCGAATGATGGACGTATAAGAGACAAACAGTTTAAATATTGAATGATATAAAAGACAATGCGAAATATTAATGTTCTTTCATAAATGTAAAGAATATTACAATCAAGGGTAAAAACGGCCACTGACGAGCAACAACGAATATTATAATTCAAACATAATATATTAACAAATGTTGGAATTATGTTTGAATTATAATATTCGTTGTTGCTCGTCAGTGGTCGTTTTTATACCCTTGATTGTTATACACACACGAGCTTGTTATTTGTAAAGAATATTGTTTCATGAAGGTGTACTTCTTTATTTAACTTATTTTATGAAATCTATATAGAACATTTTTTTGTTTTCGTAGGAGGACTTGGTTTGCTTAAATTCGCTGGCTGGTGGTATGTCAACGGCGCTTAAAGAGATTATTGGAGAATACATGAAGCTGCATATTTTGATTGAAGTAAAAATTTGTCATTTTTTCCAAATGGTCTTAAATTGTTTCTACAATAATGCAAAAAGTTTCAATAAATGAATTACTGGCACTACTTTTATAAAATTAAGAGATATTTAAATAAAAAATAGTGATTCTTTGAGAATACCTTCTTTTCTCGCAGAAAATGCGCGACGCTGGATGCGATCTATTTCCAGAGCGAGATGCCTTCAGCTATGTGAAAGCTCTTCCGGTGAAGCATCCGGTAACTGAGAGACATCTACGAGAATGTATGGCTCTACTTTGTACAGCATATACATTCTCCTGGTCCCGCTGGAATGCTAGTCGAAATTCCAGAGAAATCGTGATACAATCCAGAGAACTCCATGGATGCGTCGCAAAAGAGGTAGAGCATTTAATTAGTTTTATTGAGAAATAATACAATAATGCGCTAGAAACTAGTTGCAACGTCATTTAAAATTAATAACAGCTCTAGTTTTGTTTTTTATTTACTTCTTGTTTTTTAACTGACATTAAAAAGAGAAAATATTGTCACATACAAGAGAATATGTACGTGCTTATTCAAAAAAATTAAGTTTTAGTGCCAAATAGTGAAGCCTAAATGTAAAAATATTTTAAATTTTTTACTAAAATATTACATTTCTATATGGACATATATAAATCTCAATATTCTTATAGCGAACGAATTTAACTCTTTTGATAACTCCCTTGCGAACGATGACAGTATCCTGCACCGAAGTGAGCTCGGAATTTTCCAATGTACCGTTAGATGGTGAGAATTCGAAGGTAACACAAGATTTTTAAAATATCAAAGAATAATCAATTATCAGTTATTAATAATTTACTTTAACAATTTAATAGATGTAAATATATGCATGTAAAACAGCAGAAACTACTTTTTAAGCATAAATATATATATTACCTTATAAATATTTCCAAAAATTTTACAAGGAGACGATATATATAGAAAAATAGTTAATAAAAGTTAATGTAAATTTATTATTTAGCTGTATAGCATGTAAACTTTCTAAGAAATATTACGATATTACATATACAAGAATATAAAGTTTGTAATATTCCTTGTAATATTCCTTGAAATAATAAACGAGAGAAATAAATGTAATAGGGATAATTAAATAAATATATATATAATATATATAAAATAACTTGAAAATGTTTTTTTAATAGTTTTATGCTGATCTATATCAATTGGCACTACATAATGCCGGAATCAAAAGCCGTATATTGATGAAAAACGTCTCCTTCAAACTTGTCAATACTGTCGCAGAACTTCTAGGTCGTACTAATGTAATCAATATGTCATCCTAAGAATTAATTTCAAGAGAAACGAATAAATGATATCTTCCAGTATACGTGTTTATAGACTTGTATCAAATTTCATTAAATGTAATTTTTACATTAAATTGACATTTATTCTTCGTTTGCTCGGAGATTGACTCCACGACTTGTAGATTTATAAGGTTTGCTGTTATTGAGCGTATGTGTTTGTCACTTTATTGTAAATATTACTATTTTCTATCATATATTTATAATAAATTATATAATGTAGTTATGCTATGTATTAGATATATCTCTATTTGCCACGTTCTTTATCATGTTTCAACTTAACATATGTATGAAGACTACAGATTTATCTATAGGGACGTCCGTCGTGATACTAATGCTCGTTCTATAGACTGAAGGATGAGCCGACTCTCGGTTCATCCGCCTTTTATAGTGTACGTGACATAAACTATACATAAACTATAGATTTTTACCCGTCTACACCACTCACTCGGATGAGCTGAGAGTTGGCTTATCCTCCAGTCTAGAACGAGCATAAGGCCTATATGCGAACAATATTCTGTGCGTCTACGGTCTTCATTTGATTCGATAAGTAGTTATAGACGTCAATCGTTTTATCCTCAATGAAGCATAAAATACGCTATAAATTTTAGTATAAATCGAATGCACGTAATACTTCTACTAACATTTCAGAAAATCATACAATAAAAAGTAATATATTTTTACGAAAGTCAAACTTACATTTTAATTCCACGTTTCCAAGTTATATAGCTATCATTGCTTTAAACGGCTGTGTCGACAGGCATGTAATCAGAAATAATGCAAGATATCTGAAAATCGGCTTAAATAAATTCAAATAAAATTAATTTAATTTTTATTTGCAAGGTACAAAACATAAAAGTCACAGCACTTTGTCTTCGATACACGGCGAAAACGTGAATGAGTTTAAGAAATTGAATACAGGAAATGACATAGAACTTATCTTAATGATAATGACATTGAAGGTTGAAAGAGCAAGTTCCTCCATCCATATTAATACGTTTATCTGCATATATTGTGAACTACGTCTTTTTATAAACGATTGGAACAATTGTTATAGTATACGCATATAATTTCGAGTTTCTTCTTGTATTAAACATTAGAAATACATTAACAATATACCTATACTCTACTTCTACATCCAAATAATATTTTATTTAATACATTTTAACATATAAATATGCATAATATTTATCATTAAAACTTATACTCTTTATTTTGAAAATACATACAACAAGGTGTCTACAAAGAAAAATATCTTTAGCATAAAGAAATTATTTTCCTACTGTAGCCTATAAATTATACGTTTAATTATTATATTATAAATTGTTACATATGCAATATGGACAAATCAGCGATTTTATTGTGTATAACAACAGATCCATTTATATATTATCCACAGTATACCGATAGAGATCATACTCTTCATTATTTTAACAAATAGATAGACTCTAAAACAATAAAATTAATATATTATACATATTTTAATTGTTTCGATTATGCCTCATATACAATAAATTATGTTAATTCCATATCTTACACAATATGTATAATATTAATACTATTATGTCAATAACTTTTGCTTCTTCTATTTTCTAAATTATTTACGTCATACATATCAACAGCAGTATATAATTTATGATTAATATATTTATAATTACTAAAAGCGTCTATTTTGCTGAGATAAACAAAGAAGATAAATCCTTAACTAAAGCTTCGAAGTTGTCAACATTTTCTAAAGTGTGATTATCAAGTTATACAGCTATTTTTTACATAATGGAATTGCTTTATCTGTTAGTGTTCGAGAAAAGAAAACAAATATTTTACCTCTAGTATTATTGCACAACTCTTGATAGCCAATTTCAAATGTCACATAAATGTAAATATGCATAAACGATACCAAATACAGTAATATATAATATTTATACCTTTCCCTGTGTGCTCTGGCTGTATCCAATCGATTCATGTCTTCGTGAAGAAGAAATTTTTTGGCACCAATTATACAATTTCTTT